GTTGTCTCAGTTTATATTCAGGGCTTTGTCTGGGCTGCCGGGGCTGCCGGGGCAAAGGTCAGCAACACTTCTATCCTCTGGTCTCTGGTTCTGAGCTGCAGCCTTTTACCACAATTTGGTTTCCTCTCCCTAGCTGAATTGTCTCATTTTATCTCCAGGGTTGTAGCAGGGCTGAGACAAAAGGCTGCTGAGCAGCCACAGCTACTGCCTCAGGCAGTTTCCCTTAGCAGCGCTTTTTAAAGGAGCTGAACGAGTTAGAAGTTGCAGAGTTCTAATCAGAGTTGCATTCCCTGATCAGAGTTGCAGGCTTCCCTTATGGGAACTCCCTAATCGCCAGTTCTCCCTTGGTTATTTTCCTTCTAGTGAGTCCAGGGCGTTCTCATTTGGGTTGAAACTCTGTAGCATGAAAGTCTATAATCTGTTTTTATATAATCCCGTGCGAGTTTGGATATAGTCGTCTCGGCGTCTTTATTCTGCAGCCATCTTGCCGGTTCCCGAGCTGATCTAGCTGGTCAGTGGCTTTGTGCAGAGCCTAGGTGCTCCGGAACGGGTCTGCAGTTTCAGCAGTTTTTCCCTCACCCAGGTATTGAGGATCAGATTTGCAGTCTTTCCACAGCTTGGGCGCCACTCACAGAGCTGAGCCGTCCCTCTTTACCTCCAGGGTTTAGCGTGGGGCAAAGCGGCTCCTGCATCGCCGGGCAACTTCCAGGTGCCTGGGATTTCCTGGGAAGGGAACTCCAGAAGGGAACTCCCCAATCGCGGATTCCCCCTCAGTTATCTAGTGAGTCCAGGGTGTTTTGTTTGGATTGAAACTTGCAGTAAGTAAGTCTATAGTCCGTTTTCAGTCCTCAATTCCTATGCAAGCCTGGATGCAGTGATCTCGGCATCTTTACCCTGCCGCCATCTCCCGGAAGGCTCCTTTTTGATAATTTTAATCCCTTAAATATTTTGTCACTTCAAATATTTTTGCTTATATTATCCCTAAGTACTTAATCTAAAAATAATAAAATAATATAGAAATCTGAAAAGCATACTGTACCTCAAATGGTCTAGACCCATCAGTTATGGCAAGTACTGTTAATTACAATATTTGTAACCAGTTCTCATGAATGTATGTATATGTAAATATGTGCAAAAATCTTATGGATTGGCTTTTTTGTTTTCAGAAAATCTTCAGTGGGTAGGGGACAAAAACATAAAGATCCTTTGTTAACTCTCACTTTGGTCCCTATACAACAAAACCATTTTTTTCATTTCAGTACCTAAGAGAACATTTCTGCTAGTTGAAAATGTATGGGCATTGGAATGAATTTGAATAATGCATGTATTTTTGTTATTTAAATGTGTATTTATGTCATTCTTAAATTTGAATTTATTTGTTGAATGTCTTATAGGAATTGCTTTTGTCTGAAACAGAGACTCCTATTTTACCACCCTATTTGTGTTCATCTCTGCCTCCCCCAGAAGAACTTTATGCTGTTCAAGTTAAGCACGTTGTATCACCTAATGAAGTATGTAATCTTACTACTTGGTGATTAAAAATATAGCAAGCAATACTGGTCTTAAGCACTAGGATTGGCTATTCACATTTCCACCTTTCTGACTTTTTTTTTAAGATTTATTTGTGTCTACAGAACTGGGGTACAGGGGC